TTCTGTTTCTAAACTGGTTGAGTTTGAAGTTATGTAATAATACTTAAATTAATACAATTTTTGCATAATTGAATGTCATCTCAAGAGTTTTGGGAATCTCCATGAGGAGAAAATATTAATTTTAGTAAAGCAGAACTTGAAATATAATTAAGCATCAAGAAGTACATATAAGATTCTTTTATGTAGATACGGGCATAGTCCTGCAAGGGTCAGATAGTTAAGAATAATAATTTAATATGGCACCCAAACCTGTCCGTAATCACCACTGAAGGGTGCACATAGAGAGAAACTGTTTAAACCAGGATGCAAAGGCATCTTCTCTTTGGATCACTAATTCTGCGATGGTGGTGAATTATTGACATTATAGGAGTGATTTCTGGTAATGATGGTTATGTAAAGTAGTCGCACTGGTCCTATAGAAAATCCAGATTTGATTTTGTCACTAATGACTCAGCAGTGTCACACTACATCACACAATCTAATGACACACCACCTCACATGCACATCACAATCATGCAGTCATGCCAGGACAATGAGTCATGAAAAATCACACAGCTGCTCCTGATGAAGCAGTATTATGTCAAAAGGCCCAGTTGACCAGTTCAAGAAATGCAGCTGGAGTGATGGACATCTGGGTGTCCTACAATGAAGCATTCACCTTGTTTTCCAATAGATAAAGAGAAAGAGGACTAAAACATTATAAGAAGCAGTTAAGACAAATCAGAGCTATCACTTATTATATGCTCTATGTTGAAATAGACTCCAGGTTTAAGTTACCTTAAGCTCCAAAAAATGATGTGGCAATTTGGACCAGTAATAGCCCAGAACAAATAATGCAGTGATTAGACCAATCACAGTCAGGGGGAGGTCAGAAAACAAATATAGCACCACTTTTCCAAATACCTTTGCCATAAACATAATTGTGTTTAATGGATTAGCTGTCATCTGAAATAATCTTAGAATTAAATAGGTAACTTATGTTTTACCACTGTGCTGTATTGGGGAAATAAATCTACTTTGTTGGGCTATATATGAATGTCTTATCTTTTTATTTTATAAGTAACATAGAAAAGCAAACAACATTACATTAGTATATTGTAAATAAACAACGAATAATAAACAACTAATAACTGTTTTTACATGTAAATTGTATCATTCTTGTTTTACAGGATGAACTGTCCATTGCTGTATTTTTACTTACATTTCTTAAATTAAATGCAATGCAATTTTACATTTAAACCATATACATGGTTAGTATCTTTACAAAAACATAAGATGACTTAATAAACGCCTAATTAGACATTTCTGTCAAGTAGTAGTAGATCAGTAGGCATGATTAAGTGGGGAAATCACTGTGCTGGACTTGAAGAGTTCCAGGACTAAGAGTAAACACCCTTAATTCAGACTCTTTTTCCTCTAAAACATACTATATGTAACTATTCATCAAGGTACAAACAATGTATGCACCTTAAAGGCACAACAGTGGTTTTATGGCTTTAACTGTGTAACGGGTTTTGCAATTTTTAATGTTATTATTGCTAGAACCTTATGTGAGGGTGTGGGGTAACCTGGATTTATTTGAAGTCTACAGAGCAAGGCAAGAGAGAGAAACACTCACACCAAGGATGATTCCGAAAAGGGAATTTATTGGCTAAATATCAAACTACTTTTGAACTACATTCAATGATAAACAGTAGAAAATAAAACAAGAAAACAAAACAAAATGATAGTAAGGAAAGTCAAAAAGACAAAATAGCTCGAGTAAGTTAGAGTGATTCACGGCTAAATGGTATGAGGCAGTGTGGTTTTGGTAAGTCGCTTGGGAGAGCCTCTAGAGAATTAACCTAAGCCTGGATGGGAAGAACTATATGGCTGGATGTACCCATTAAAAGTTCTCTTATTAAATAAGTTGGCGTCAGGGCCCTGACTGCAAATTGATGGAACCAGCTTACATTGGAGTCGGGGGCTGACTTCAAGCGGGGTTGTCTCAGGACGGACTCGATCGAAGGCTGGAGCTCACGTGGTGGTTCCTCTCCTCGCTGGCCGTGGATGCTGCATCCCCATGCGGGCACGCGCCTTTCCGTCAGTGATTGGGCGGAGGCGTCTCGTGGCCATCTGACGGTGGAGCTTGGGCAGCCTTTCGATGGTCGATCTGTTCACAGATCAGTGCGTGGCTCTGGGTGTGATGCTGGGTCTCCATGGTGTCAGAACCGCTCCCACTCTGCTGGCGAGGTTCAGGTTGCAATCAGGGTTCTGAGGCTGGTGATACTAATTTAACTAACTACCTCTCTTTAGCAGAATCGAAAGTTATGGATATATCCTCCCGGGCCAGACAAGAAATATCCACCTTCCTTCTCTTAGGGTGGTTCAAACTTGAGGTGTGTAGACAACCAGGCAAGTTACAAAACAAACAAAGGTTTCAGATCTGAAAATTTAGCATTCTAATACTTCTGACCTGTCTTTCTGACCAAGGCCGGCACAAACTTAGAAACTTAGCTATCCTCTTGTTGAGAATGTAGGACTCTGAACTGAACTACTGAAATTTGCAGTGCACTCTGGTTTTGCTCGGCTGGACGCCCTACCCTTTGGAGGTGGAGCCAGAGTGCTGATAGGTTCTCCTCGCCTAAGGTTAACTAGCTACTCATTGTTTCCAACTCTGATTGGTTGTGCATAATTTTAGGAATGCCTTCCCCAGAATCACTGCCTTCCTTGTTTCAGCTAGTTGTAAACAAAGAAAAAGAAACATTTCTATATCATCAAATTGGTTTAACTGTCAAAATCAAGGAATGGACAACTAGGATATTCAGGTATGTTTCTGAGAGAGAGTTTAACCCTTGTTACCTGATACACAACACATGTTAAAGAACACAGGTACTATTTGCCTATCATATCTGAACATGACCCAATGCAAGAAGAAATAAAATCGACAATAAAAGAAAAGGAACAATGGAAGAAAAGAAAAGAAAACCACATTCAGGATACATATTGGTCAATGCTCTAAACTCATAGCAATTAAATGGTTGGGTCTGTCTGTTATCAAAGTTATACACTGCATATTTCTAGCACTTAATAGTAAAAAAAGATACAGGTAATATTTAGGTAATACCCAACAACATGATTAATACAACACGTAGTATTGCTTACAGATTATATAAATGTTGATAATCAAGCAGACAAAGCAAAGTTGGCGTCAGGGCCCTGACTGCAAATTGATGGAACCAGCTTACGTTGGAGTCGGGGGCTGACTTCAAGCGGGGTTGTCTCAGGACAGACTCGATCGAAGGCTGGAGCTCACGTGGTGGTTCCTCTCCTCGCTGGCCGTGGATGCTGCATCCCCATGCGGGCACGCGCCTTTCCGTCAGTGATTGGGCGGAGGCATCTCGTGGCCGTCTGACGGTGGAGCTTGGGCAGCCTTTCGATGGTCGATCTGTTCACAGATCAGTGTATGGCTCTGGGTGCGATGCTGGGTCTCCGTGGTGTCAGAACCGCTCCCACTCCGCTGGCGAGGTTCAGGTTGCAATCAGGGTTCTGAGGCTGGTGATACTAATTTAACTAAATACCTCTCTTTAGCAGAATCAAAAGTTATGGATATATTCTCCCTGGCCACACAAGAAATATCCACCTTCCTTCTCTGAGGGTGGTTCAAACTTAAGGTGTGTAGACGACCAGGCAAGTTACAAAACAAACAAGGTTTCAGATCTGATAATTCAGCATTCTAATACTTCTGACCTGTCTTTCTGACCAAGGCCAGCACAAACTTAGAAATTTAGCTATCCTCTTGTTGAGAATGTAGGACTCTGAACTGAACTACTGAAATTTGCAGTGCACTCTGGTTTTGCTCGGCTGGATGCCCTACCCTTTGGAGGTGGAGCCAGAGTGCTGATAGGTTCTCCTCGCCTAAGGTTAACTAGCTACTCATTGTTTCCAACTCTGATTGGTTGTGCATAATTTTAGCAATGCCTTCCCCAGAATCACTGCCTTCTTTGTTTCAGCTAGTTGTAAACAAAGAAAAAGAAGCATTTCTATATCATCAAATTGGTTTAACTATCAAAATCAAGGAATGGACAACTAGGATATTCAGGTATGTTTCTGAGAGAGAGTTTAACCCTTGTTACCTGATACACAACACATGTTAAAGAACACAGGTACTATTTGCCTATCATATCTGAATATGACCCAATGCATGAAAAAATAAAATCGACAATGAAAGAAAAGGAACAAAGGAAGAAAAGAAAAGAAAAGAAAACCACATTCAGGATACATATTGGTCAATGGTCTAAACTCATAGCAATTAAATGGTTGGGTCTGACTGTTATACACTACATATTTCTAACACTTAATAGTAGAAAAAGATACAGGTAATATTTAGGTAATACCCAACAACATGATTAATACAACAAGTTGTATTGCTTACAGATTATATATATGTTGATAATCAAGCAGACAAAGCAAGAAGTTTCTTGGGTTCCTTATAAGCACATATCCTTACGGTGGTGATGTGGTAATTCTCGTTTTCACCCCTTGGGGGTGCTGTGGGTCCATGCTTGAGATTCCCAGGGGATTTAGAAAGTTTAAACGTGCAGTCCAGATTGTTGTATCAGTTCCATTCTTGGTATGTCTAGTTTAGTTAAAAAGAGTTCTAACGAATGGTTGCAGTTTGGAGTGGACATATACCTTAGAAATGTACTTTCTGCTACTTAAAGTTGTCCACAGGACTTTGGAGGGCCATGTGGCCAATATTCCAGGGAGGTGTTCTGTTGCCCCCAGGGGCGAGGGAGAGGGGTGCTGGTTCTTGATTCAGCCATGAATTTGACTGAGTTTAGGGTTGGGAGTGTTAAGGACAGATTTATACTTTCAACTCCAGACTCGCTGGAGCCAAAAGGCCCTTAACTTTTGGGTTGTTGATAAGTTAGGTAAACACTCAGCTTGGGGGTAAAGTTTCAGCCAGTGTTCACTACAAACTATATTAGATTATGAGGTTATAAAATGTAATGTTTTAAAGTAAAAAGGCTAGTGATGCACAGGGTGTATGGAGTAAATTCAACTTAAACAATACAATTGCAAAAGACTATGGTGCAATTATGTTCCTGATTTACCATTGAGAGCACCACCCCAGTGCCAAGAGGGATTCCACCACAGGGACAGTTTAGTACCTTTTTTCTAAGTGTGTACAGCTAATACTACCAAAATGATGATGATGGGAGCTCTTTATCCCCATGTGAGTTCAAAACACTTTTTTGAAACTTTTGGAATTTTGAAAATGTGTTAAGGTCTAGGAAAGCTTGCCTTTATCAACGTATGAAAAGACAGTTATTTGCCATGTACTAATATTATGATCTACAAAATGTATTATTATCTAGTGTCTAATATCAAGATAACAATAATTTGATCAAATAATCTGTTTATTACTATATTATGTCTTTAAAAATCTTATAAGTATTAGAAATACTGCATGTCACTCAAATGTCATTGGAATAAATTATACATCACATCTTGTGTGAAATATGCTGATGCATAACATTAGCATTACCAGTTTCACTGTCTTCTCATACGTTGATAAGATTTTACAGCGAATGTTACTGATACCCCTAAAAAAATGATATACCCTGCTGTTCCTGTTAACAGTAAACCTCCTAAACCTGCAGCTGCAGTTCCTAAACCGACTCCAGCAAGACCTGAACATACTCTATCTTCAAGAAACTGCATTGGATTCTCCATCACTCTTTTAATCCACCCAGTGATACCAGACTTTTCCTCTTCTTCTTTCCTCCTTCTCTCCTCCATCTCTCTGAGATCCACCTGTGCCTGCTGATAGACCTCTTTGCTGTAGATATGTTCCCCGTTCCTCTCTACCAGCAGATCAATGTTCTCCAGTAGCTCTGTGACCTGAGAGCTATTTTCCCTGTCCTGATTATTTAATACATGAAATCTCCAACCACAGCTATTTATAACTTTATTAAGTTCTCTACTTTCTGTAATGTAATCCTCCACTCTTTTACCCTTCAGTTGATCAGCATGGGTGAGTAGAACAATGGAGTAGATTGAAGTATATTTTCCAAAGTTCTCCAGAATCCACTTCATGGCATTTCTCTCTTCCTCTGAGAATCTAGTGGCCAAACTGATGACCAGTAGGAAGACGCAGGGTCCAGGGCCATCCATACCGATGCATTTCTCTATTTCAGCTTTCAACTCTTCTTTAGTCATTGAGGTGTCAAAGATCCCAGGAGTGTCGATCACTGAGATACGTGTTCCTCCTCTCTCAACAACATGCTTCTTGCACTGTGCTGTGACAGATTTTGGTGAGACGTCCTCTATGAACACCTGACTGCCGAGGATGGTGTTTCCTGTAGAACTCTTTCCTGATCCAGTTTTACCCAGCAGCACAATCCTCACATCAGAAGAACGCAGCTGACCTGTGGATAAAACACATGCACAAATATTAACCCAATTCCAAAAAAGTTAGGACAGTATGTGAAATACTAATAAAAACCAAAAGCAGCAATTAGGGTACTCTGTTTGATGTGTATCAATTTTAAAACACATCAAAACACACTATTTGACATTTTACTATGTGAATTTTATTCTTTTTTGATAAAAATGACATTATCTTTTAACAGCACTCAATAACCATTAGGGAACCAAATACAGAAATTAATCAAGTTTTGAAAGTGGGCAACTGTATGGGCCCTTTATCATCATATTTTGCAGTTAATAATTTTTAATGGGAGACAGGCAGGCCAGTCTAACACCAGCACTCTCTGATTACATAGCCATGCTTGAGTCTAGATAAGCATTTTACCACCAGGGATCCTGATCTGGCTATCATTTATTTGTTTTTTAGCAATTTTAATTGTATTTGCTCTGAGTGAAACAGCAGAATAGACAGGAGTTGTTAGATATTGCAATGTATAAATTCGAATGCTACTTGCTGCTCTTGAACTGTTCAAATTTACAAAGGTAAACTATTCTCTAAGCAGTTTGAGGGGGGAAAACTTTTTAAATATATATATAATATATAATAAAGTTAAACATGTTGGTTTATATGGTATATAGTAACACTTCATATTTTAAACTCTGTATCTACAGCCTCAGACCAGCATTTTTATTTCTTCTAGCGCCTCACTTACCTTATTGCCCCTTTTTTCTGACTGTACCTCCCTGATCCCTTTTTTGCCACTATACATTTAACTGCTGCTGCACCCAGCACTCAGTGTGTGATGGTCTGAGTGTGTGATAGGAATGCATGTTCTATTTTATTTTATTCTTGTTTCATATTTTTATTTTATTGTTTATTTTATTTACTACATGTATATGTTTGTCAGATACTGTGCACTGTGAGTTCCTGTAACCAAAGCCAAATCCCTTGTATGTGTAAGCATACCTGGCCAATAAAGCTTGATTCTGATTCTGAACATCAGTAAACCCTTTCTCCACATCAAACAATTTCTTAAAACAGACAGTGTTTTATTTGTTTTGAATGCTTAAATAGGATAGACACATTAATACATACATCACATTAAAATCTACATACACCACACACAACTGCATTAACCAAAGTACACTTTAATAAATAAATTTACAGCTAAATGCAGCCATTTGCTATATACAGTAATATTACAGTAATTAATTATTTAAGTAATCAATTCATTTACAATGTTTTTTACATAAATATTCATATACATACACATGGAACCAGCCACTTCATTAAGTACATCTCCTTGTTACTGCACTCCATTTGTCCATTTTATCAGCTCCACTGATCATATAGGTGCACTTTGTAGTTCTACAATTACAGACCGTAGTCCATCTGTTCCTCTGCATACTTTGTTACCCTGTTCTTCAGTGGTCAGGACCCCCACAGGACCCCCACAGAGCAGCTATTATTTGGGTGTATCATTCTCAGCACTGCAGAGACAGTGACGTGGTGGTGGTGTGTTACAACACAAATAACAAAGTATGCAGAGAACAGTCTCTAATTGTAGAACCATAATATGGACAAAGAGTCTATATACAAGGAGGTGTACTTAATGAAGTGCCTGTCTGGTGTTTGTTACCATGTTGTGTCTTGTGCATTGCAGTGCCCCATTCAACTGTGCATCATGTAATTCATGGGGTGGCCAATAAAATCAAACAAATTAAACTGAAAATTATAAAGCATTTCTCAAGGCTTTGTGAGGCTGGGGAATCATGCAACTTTCCGATGTATAGTTGGAACTATAGATGGCTGCCATATTTGAATCAAAGGTCTAAGAGAACCTGATGCACAAGGTTACAGAAACTGCAAGCTCTACCCATGTGTGCAGCTGCAAGCTGTACGTGATCATCAGGCAAAGTTTTTGGATGATTTTATAGGCTTTCCTGGACCAGTGCATGATAAAGTGTCCTTTGCACAGTTCTCTCTACCAGCAGGCAGCACGATCCTTGGTGATGGTCGTCAGTCCCACTCCTGGACTTCAAACAAAAAATTCAAACCTGTAATCTAACCTCAGTTTGCTTTCTTTTGCCTAGCTGAATTATACACAAGCATTTAAGCATTTTTTTTAGTATTGTAATTATGCTTGAAATGCATGCAAAGCTTTAAAAAAGGTAACTCCTTAATCTTTGAATTAATATACTAATCTACTAGTAATGTTCAGCTCTGTCTTAAAACTTACCTTATATTTCTTTTTTAGTTTGTGTCATCTTCTCCTGTAGCCCCAATTCCAAAGGATAGTGCTATCAACAAACAAAATCAAATTAGGGCTTTTAACTTTGTTAGAGAATAGATAAAGAGATTAAAAATATCCTATATTATTCATTATTCAATAATTCAAAATTCTACCCAGATTAGGAAACCACTTCTACTTACTTTTTAAGTTATGATTAGCTAATGTTACATTTTATTCTATCACTAAATATACATGATTAACACAATCGTTCTTGGTGAATAAGATTGGAAAACCCCTGTTCTAACTGGTAAACCAACACCCTAACTTGCTTACTTCCTAGCTGACAAAGCAGAGTTTTTCTTCCTGGTGAACAGCCTTTATGAAGGCTGTGAGCACTGATCTGGTCCCAAAAAAAGAAACAATTCGTGAATGCCAACACAGAGAACTAAATAGCTAGCAATCTAGCAAGTTACAGAAAGGCACCATATAACCCTCATTATTATACCATATTTTGAAGACACACACAAATGGATCGACAATTAGATAGTGCTATCTCATCATTAATTGACATTTGACGAAATCGCTAGTTAAGCTATTGGTCATTAGCTAGCAAGTTTGTCAGCCAGCTGGCTATTCAAAACAATAGCCTTAGGCTTCAAGATCCACTATCATGCATGCTAACAGTGTTCTGAAAACTGTAAAATGGTCACTGGTGGACCTAAATTGCAAACTGTAGGCTGTTTGTGCACCTTTGTGACAAGAAAAGAAATAAAATACCACAGAAAACCAGAATAACTTACATTTAAAGATAACCTCACCACTTGCTGGGCTTCTTTCCGCACCGCTTCTGCCCACCGTCTTCAAATAAGTGATGTGCCACACTGCATCACAGGACTGCCTTACAGGCTGAGTAAACATCCAATGCTCTCTCGGTATCCGGCCAAAACAAGATCCCTCAGTAGGCAGCATATTTGAGGTATATAGGAATTGAGATGGTCTTATCGGGAGTGCACAAATTATGATGTAAATTGCTGCCTATGTAGTGAGCTCACTAGGTTCTGAGACACACCCTAAGAATCTTGGCTTTGTAATGTTTTCATTTAACATTTGTGATTTACTGATCATTCGTTCCTGCTTTGGTTTGCATTTAACATACTGTTCCAACTTTATTGGAATTGGGTTAGTTCAACGTTGTGCACTTCACTTATTTGATCATTTTCTTTTATAGCTTCTAAACTCTGGAATAACATTTCAGAGCTTCCACTGTGCAAGAGTCCATTTTAGTGGAGTTAAAGCCCAGAGAAGCCAGTGGCATTTCTGGACATTGTTGACATATGACTGTACTTCAGCAACTTAAATACCAGTTTTAAGCTGGTTAGCAATGCTGTTTAGAAGGATGAGCTTGACATGATTTAATGCAATTAAAATTGGTTTATTAAAGATATGCAAGGGACTTAGTTACATATTAGAAAATGAGTGAAAAATGTGATGTGGCTTAAAAAACGATACACATGAATAAGAAAAACAACATGAAGCTTACTGAAAATGGTTTGAAAGACAGAAAAAGAGACAGAACAAGAATAAGAATGAGAACACAAGACCCAGAGAAACTCTCCAGCTCTCTATATGGATGCCCATGTTTCGTTCCTCAGTAAGAAAACTTCTTTTCACTTTTAACTTGTTTAGACTGTTATTGTTTAATCAAAGCCTGCTGGCCTCATTGACTAACCAGCCAAGCATGTTCACATGTTGGATGTCATGGTTGGAAGAATAAGTAACTGGTTTGCTAATACAGATAAAAATTGAGCCCCTTAAACGAAATACCATATATTAACCATTCTGCCTTGTTTAGATTGTCAGATATTATCAGTTATTTTGCCCAAACTTATTTGTAATTATATCAATTATCATGCCTCCTTAAATAATACCTCTTTCAATGCTTACTCATCTTTCTTTTTGACTTTATCATAAAGAAGCTTTGCTCCTGTCCCCACAGCAAGTGCTCCTCCAGCTACAGCTCCTGCTGCTGGCAGTACAACAGCTCCTGTGACTCCAATAGCCACTCCTCCTGCCACCACTCCTCCTAGCCCCAGTGCTGTTCCTGCACCCAATGCAACTTCTTTTACTTTTTTTATTATTTTTTTTTTCCTCATCTCTTCCTGGGCTTTTTGAAACATCTCATTTGTATAGTGATTTCCTCCGTTCCTCTCCACCATTGCATCTATCTTCTCCAGCAGCTGTGTGACCTGATCTTGGTTCTGTTTACTGTCATTGTTGAATCCATGATATCTACCACCACAGCGGTCAATAAGCTTCAGAAGATCTCTGCTTTCTTTGACATACTTGTCCAAAGTTTTGTCCTTCAGCTGATCAACATGAGTGAAGAGAATAATGGTGAAGAGTGAGGCATCTTCACCAAAGTTCTCCTGAATCCACTCCACAGCATTTTTCTCCTCCTCTGTGAATCTCCCAACTCTGATCACTAGCAGGAAGGCGTGAGGTCCAGGAAGTGACATGTGGACACAGTCTTTTATTTGTTTTTCCATGTCTTCTGGATCGAATGATCCAAATAACCCTGGTGTGTCAACCACACAGATTTTCCTGTCTTTGCGGTTTGTAAACCCTGATTTGCATTCCTTTGTAATTGACACAGGTGAGGCTTCTTCTTTAAAGAAACTCTCTCGGCCCAGGATGGTGTTTCCACTTGCACTCTTTCCTGCTCCAGTTTTACCCACCAGAACAACTGTCACGTCAAACTCTGCGAATTAACAAATGCCTTATAGCTTCAAACAGAAATCCAACCTTTTACATTTTAATAAAGCACTATAAGGTATACACTACAATACCAAAAACAGCTGCATTGGTGTCATAATGAATTTAGTAGAATAGAGATGTTCTGTGAAATTTGAAACAGTCTAAACCATTGGTTGAAATGTTCAGTGACTTTACAGTACTGTATGGTCAGAGACCACCCTTCCTTTGTTTATTTTCCAGTAAAAATGTGTATGTTTCAAAATATTTAAAAGAAAAATACAAAGAAGCTTCAACAACATGTCTGCAAAGTTTTAGGAGTTGGTTGCATTTTCTGCTTCTTATGATCCAAGTAATCCCAAACACATTCAGTGGTGTTGAGGTCTGGACTCTGGGGTGGTCAGTCCATCATTCAGCTTCTTTGTTTGATGTATCCGTCTCCTTTTCTCAGTGAGGTTCTTCTTGATCAGCTACATATCCTTTCAGACCCATAGCGCTAAGTCGTCTTCTCACAGTGGAAGAATGGACAGAAACACCTGAAGCAGCTTGATTTTCTCCTCTCTCTCAAAGATAAAAGCTTTAAGTGCTGTTTATCTGAAGGGGACTGGGTCTCATATGGTTGTTAATGCAAATTTCTCTAATGGCCGATTTTGACAGGAAATAAACAAAAAAAGAGTGATCTCTGACTTTTGCACGGTAGTGTGTGTGCATAAGTATATAAGCATTTACATTTAACATGTAGCTTTGACAGGCAAAGCCATCAACCATCCATTTGCAGCCTCACAGAGTGATGAAAATAAATATCATTAAATATCATATCATATTTCATCCAAGTAGGTCTATGGTATGTGCACTTTTGTATTACAAGAAATAGTTCTTTTTTTTCATAAGTGTGAACCAAAACATACACATATAGTTTTAGAATCATTTTCTTATGGCAGAATAAATCTCATAACTCACCAGGCGAGAGAGGAAAGAACTCCGTGGCCTCATTTTCGATCAACGGCGCTGCAAAGAAATCGTCATTTAGTTGAAGAATATTTAAGTAATTCTTAAGGTTTTCTTCTTCATTTCTCTTTTCTCTTTTTTATAGAATTAACAACTTAAATTGTACAATTGTACAACTTGTAATTAGAGACTGTAGAGCGGCTACATACACATAAAAGTTTAGGCAACCATAGTGAAATGATACTTTGTGTTGCTTTATTAAGTGAAAATACACAGCCTTAACAGAATTACTGTTTATTTGCTGAATTTAACATATTGGCAAAAAATACAAGATAAAAGCTGTCCTGTTCAAAAGTTATGTCACATTTTATTTGTTCATTTATTTATTTTGTTTCATTTCAAACTCAGCAAATAAGTGAAAATTGTGGAAGTTTTCCACTAAAGTATTGGGTATCAGGATGATTTCTTACCCTTACCCTTTAAAATGTACTCTGAGGTTACTTGCATGCTATCACAGCCTGTTTGATTAACTAGAGTTTCTTTGTTGTTTGTAGCACACTGTAATGGCTCAAAGACTTATTCTAATTTGTCTTGGTAATTTCACTATGAAGGTAACTTTGTCATGCTGATTACACATTTAAAACATAACTATACAACACATACAAAACATACACATACCATATAACACAATCATACAAAGCAACCATCCTTTATGATTATATATAGTGAAGTCTATAAACAGGCCTCAGTTTGAAGGCACTCAAATAACACTATTTTTTTTTTTAAATGTATGTCTGAAAAAACATTTAAGTGTAAACAATATGTGAAATTATATCTGGTTGAGATATTGTGTGAGTGTAGTATGTGACTTTCTTGAACACGAGAAAGTCAACAAAAGAATTTTGTGGGACCAACAAGAAAGCATTAATCGTGTCACATGACCAGTAATATTCGGGACATTTTGGGCTTTTATTTAAAAGACATACAAAAAACAAAGAAAAAACTAATTTATTTAAATATAAGCAATTATTTACAAGGTGTGCTTAAACAGTACTCTGTTATGATTAAACAAGTGGTCAGATTACACATTTTGTTGATTTTCTAAATGAAAAGAAGTTAACACTATCACTGTAAATTTAAATATTGTGACCTCTTGGCAGAGAAGGAGAGGCAGGAAATATTGCGCATTAGAGAAATGCTCATTATTGAACCAGCAGTGGACAACTGCCACCCAGCACTGTTTGACACAGCCAGAAAACACCAGGTCACTTCTAGCCACACATCTCCCATGTGAGCACTAGACATGCCCTCTGAACCATCGCAATCACCTCCACTGTCAGCTTGAAGTGCTGCTGGAGAGCACTCAAATCAGCCAACGAAGAAATGTAAGTATCAGTATGGCAGGCCATTAGCTTTTGCTTTGCTGTTTATAATACTTAAAATGAACTGAAAATGAAAGGTAACTGAATATTATTCATTATAAGTTAATTTATTATTACAATCATACAAAATAAGAGGTAAACAGAGGATCCCTTCATTTTTCTGAATGCTCTGAGGAATCTTAGTGCTCTGATTACTCACAGTTCTGATTACTGTGGAATGTATTTCAAAATAAAAGCCTTTTGGTCACACAGCATCAAATAAAGAATATATTAGGCATGTCAGAATGTAAATATTGAATATCAAGATAATAACCTATAACATTTCATCACTATTTACAATATTATAATATTAATATCATGATGAACATGAAAAAGACTGCATGTATAAGATAATAAATATACATGCATGTAGTGTTCTGTAGGTTTTTTAATATGGATAATGTGTTGAAGCTTACACATTTTGGGGATTTCTCTCTTGGAATAAAAAAACCCTCTGTCTTCATCAGACATCATATCTTTTGTTTCATCCATTTTTTCCAGGGCTGGTTGGTAGACATTGTGTACTCTAACCCTTTCATGCATATTTTGTTTTTCAAAAACATATCCCATTTTTTTTTTTCTAAAAACCCTAGCACCCATATTTCAAAAGTAACGGAATTGTCCACGTATGTGGACACCATGCATGAAAGAGCTTGTTAGTACACTGAGTATGAAAAGAAGCCCTGCAACTAATGGGATCACACTGTAACAGTGTGGCTGGAGCTTGCAAGGCTGCTCTGTGTATCTCTGATAAATACAATTTGACTGGCTATATGTAATGACGGTTAGCATTCATGATATTATTGTATGTATTAATTTAAACGTTTTAGACTTAAAAAGTAAAAAAAAAAAGTGATACAGTCAGATGAGGCCTGAATTCTTGACCCCTACAGTGGGGGGTCTGGTGGCTCTGTTATTCTGTCAGGGGCATTTTGCTGGCGTGGTTTGGGCCCTTAGAAGGAAGGGTCACTGCAAATCAATACAAAGTTTTCCTACGATAAAACATTTCTGTCCTCATGTGCATGTTTTTTTTTTCAGGATGTCCCCATTCATAGTTCATGAGGGGTCACTGAGTGGTTTGAGTATGAAAATGATGTAAATCATACACTGTGACCTCCACAGTCACCAGATATCAACCCAGTCAAACAGCAATGGAAGAATATTGATGCACTCTCACCATCAACACCAAACCACCAAATTACAGAACATCCTTTGTAAGAATGGTGTTTGCTGCCTAACCATGTCTGGGAGCAGCACAGCATTGCCAGCACAGCAGCGCTGCCTGGAGCAAAGGGGGTCAAGTGCCTTAACTGCCACTTTTAACAGTGTGATAGGACTTACTTAGGATAGATGTGCATGATCAAACTGGGCAACCTTGAAACCCATGAAATCATAAAACTTTTGCAAAAGTCTTTCCATGCAGCATAGATATTAATGATAATGATAATGATAATGATAAAAGATATACTGTTTGAAAATACTTTCAATGAAGAAAAAAATCAAATTTCATGCCTTTATGACTATTTATACCAGTGTATTAGCTCAGTACATTTATCCAGGAACAAACAGAGCAAATGGCCCGAAATTGAGATTACTCATGATCAGGGTAATGATCGGAAAATTTGAACAAAGCTTTTTAAAAAGCAGTGTTGTTTACATTTGGAAATAAGTAATGAAGGGGTTTTGTATTTGACAGAGACTAAATGGAACATGATTAATAAGAAGGGTTGGGTGACATCATGGCACCCCAGATAAAGGGTATAAAAAGTGCTGTTCGAGCATTATATTTTGCAGAAGGGGTCTCTGGAGACCCCTTGCCACTTGATGCTCAAACAAAGTGAAGAAGCATTTTCCCTCTTTCCAAGAGAACTCAGTGTTTGAAGTCTTTTTTTTTTCCTTTTTAATACTTTCTGAGAATTAAAGTAGTTATTAGCGTAAGTGTTCAGTCAGTATTGAAGATTTAATATTATATCCGAGGCCTGGGGCTGACAGTAACATGCTGTACTGTCCAAAATAAATACATGCTTATGTTCTAGTTGTTACTCAATAATAAGTTAGTAGTGGCAGAAGTAACAAGCCAGTAATAAACTAGTTAAATCATTGTAACATAACTTGGCTACTAAAATAAAAATTACAGACCAAATTTTTAGCTCTCAATAAATAATATTAAGATACATTAAGATAAACATGTACAAAGATTCAGGATTCAAGATTCTTTATTTTCATTGCACAGGGTACAATGAAATTGGGTAGCGATCCTAATGGTGCATAAACAAAAGATTAAACTAGGAATAAAGCAAAAGTATAAGCTAATGTAAAACATAAAATGCAAGAAAGTCTATATAATTTTAAATTGTGAAAGAACAGTGAATTAAACTATAAAATCATTTAAAATAAAATTATAAAAAAAAAGGAAAATAAGTAAAAAAAAAAAAGGGTAAATATAAAAGAATGTAGCAGCTGTGGTATTGCACATGAGGGTTTGCCACGTATGTGAATGGGAGTGTTTCTATTTACAGAGAGTGCAGTTTAATAATACATATAAAGTGCAGATGAATGTAAACATCTTTTAATATCCCTTAAGTGTGTTTTGGAAAGGTGGTAACGGGTTGAACAGATGATGACCAGGATGAGATGGGTCTTTCAGGATGTTAGCTGCCCTGCTGAGGCAGTGGGACCTGAAGACCTCCTCTAAGGAGGGCAGTGAGCAGCCGATGATCGTCTGGACTATGCTGATGACTCTCTGAAGGGCTCTTCTGTCCGCTGCTGAGCTGCTGGTGTACCATGTGGAGATGCCCTATGTAAGCACACTTTCAATGGAGCAGCAGTAGTAAGACACCAGAAGCTTCTCTTACAGGTTGTTTTTCCTGAGGATTCTTAGAAAGTAGAGTCACTGCTGTGCCTTTTTAACTAATGCCATGGTGTTTGTGGTCCGGGAGAGATCTTCAGCAACGTGCGTGCCCAGGTATCTGAAATCATGTACTCTTTCCACACAGTCCCTGTTAATGTATAATGGGTCTGGTTTTGTAGAGTTCTTTCTGAAGTCTATGATGAGTTCTTTAGTTTTTGAGGAGTTCAGGGTGAGACACCACAGAGCCAGTCCTTGGACTTCATCTCTCATCTCCTTCAGAGGTAAGTCCAATCACGGCTGTATCATCTGTAACTTTGATTGTAGTGTTGGTGGGATGGGTGGGGGCACAGTCATGAGTGTAGAGGCCATAGAGAAGGGGGCTCAACACACAGCCCTGTGGTGCACCACAGGGCTAATGGTCTGGGTTTGGACAGGAAGTCCTTGATCCAGTTGCTGATGTGTTGGGAAAGTCCCATGTCAGTGAGCTTAGTGACCAGTCTGCCAGAGATGAGTGTATTAAAGGCAGAGCTAAAGTCTATCAAAAGTATCATCACATAGCTCCACTGGTGTTCAAGGTGGGCGAGTACTGTATGAAGAGTGGTGGTGATTGCATCTTCCGTGGACCTGTTTACCCTGTAGGCGAACTGGTGTCAAAAGCTTGGAGGGAGGCTGGCTTTGATGTGGTGCAGGACCAGTCTCTCAAAGCACTTCATTATGACAGGTATGCATGCACTTGGGGCGGTAGTCACTGAGGTCACTGATGACAGACTTTTTTGGAAGTGGAATAATTGTGGCAGATTTCAGACGAGGTGGGATATTAAGTTCCTCTGCCAGTGAGGCATCCCAGTTGGCAGCTATGCGGTTGCTGGTCTTATGGTTTGTGATGTGCTGTATTCCCTGCCACACCTGCCTTGGGTCGTTGCTGGTTTGGGTACACCTGGGTACAGCTGATGTGTACTTTCTTTTAAGTCTTGGTCTTCAAACATGTTCCAATTTCTTCTTTCAAAGCTGTCTTGCAGCTCTAAGCAAGCACCATATGGCCATGACTGAACAGTCATTGTGGTTGGTTGAGCTTTCCTCCTGAAGCGGGTGTATGCTGCCTAGTTGAGGGAGTAATATTGCCATAAATCCATTCTTGATGTTTGAGCAGACTTTGTCCAGAGTATTTGTCCCCCTTGTAACCCATTTGATGTGTTGGTGAAATTTTGGGAGAACTGCCTTTAAATCTATGTGATTAAAATCTCCAGCAATGATATGGGCTGCTTCAGGATAGATACGCTGTTATGAATCAATAGCACTGAGCAGGGAGCTTAATGCTATGCTAGCATTAGCATCTCGGGAAATACAGACAGCCGTTACTATGACAACGTTGAACTTGCGGTAAACGGGTCTGCATTTAACTGTTATGTACTCCAGATCAGAAGAACAGTCTCTGTCTATGGGTGTAATATTAGTACCCTAGTTATTATGTACGTTAATGCAAAGCCCACCTCCTTCTGTCCCAACCACATGCTGGCTTCATCTGGAATGAGTGAGTGTAGCCACATTTCAGTTATTAAAAGAATGCAGCAGTCCCTTATGAGTTTGTTTATGGAAGTCAGCAGGTTTAGTTTGTCCATTTTGTTGGTGATGGATTTGGTGTTGGTGAGAAAAATGCTGGGTAATGCTGATTTGTGTGGTTGTTTCTTTAGCCTAGCAACTGTGCCGGACCAGGATGCACACTTTTGCTTCCTGTGTCTCCTCCATCTTTGCTGCTTACCAAAGCCGAAAACAATCTACCTGTTTTGGCTGTGATCCTATGCTTAAAAGAATTTTGTGGCTGTAGGTAGGATTCGCATGACTAAACGTCACATTTATTAACAGACATATAGATAAAAACGCACATAAAAAGCATTGTAAAGGAGAGCATCGAGCCACAGCGTCCAGACACGCTGCCATCTTGATATGTGTGGTGTTAGTTTATTATACTGTGAGTTATCACTGAACTTTTTCTGAGCCATTGACCATATCTGAATAAAAGTGGCAGAAAACACTAACACTATTATACACATGTTTGGAAAAATGAATGGATGTTTAAGTAAATTCTTGATGAGTAAAGGCCTTTGTATGTGTATTTTTGATAGAAATGGGGGTCCTGTGGGGTCAAAATGATCATGAGAACGGTGAGCAAAAATCCCAGAACTACACGGAGGGACCTGATGAATGAGCTGCAGAGAGCTGGGACCAAAGTAACAAAGGCTACCATCAGTAACACACTACGCCGAGAGGGACTCAAATCCTGCAGTGCCAGGCATGTCCCACTGCTTAAGCCAGTACATGTCCAGGCCCGTCTGACAGAAATCTTGTGATCCCACAAAACTGATGGCATCTCAAAACAAAGTGTAACTTAATTTCATCAAAGCTGTTTTGATAATGTAATGTAATGTGTGTTCCTTTATGTTATGGAACAGGCCCTGTTGTGAGTTGCAAAAATGTTCTAACCTTATTACAACAGCCTGATACATCAAAAAGAAGAAAAAAAGGAGAGACACATTAAAACATTAGTGAGTCCACATATCTGTAATGTGTTCTGACCACTGTGACACACTGGCTCTGTGTGCAACAAAAAAAAAAAAACAAGAAATGCTGCTTTTTATCAGGCATTTGTGGTTTCGCCACACAAGTTCTATAAACTCAACAACCAAATACTTTTAGAAGATGGAATTTTAAAAAGAAACTTAATCACTCACAAGAGAAGGAAGTTGATTCAGTGTCATCAATAGCTCCATGTTCATGTGAGGGAACCACTAGTTTGTGATTTGTGATATTTTTTCCAATTATTTTAGTTGGCTACAATTGAGAGTTTTCAAGCGTGAACTGTCTGTTTAAGGTCTTGGCACAGCATCTCAATGGGTTTTAATCAGGACTTTTACTCGGCCACTCCGAAACCTTAATTTTGCTTCTTTTGAGCCATTCAGAGATGGACTTGCTTGTGTGCTTCAGATCATTGTTCTGCTTCTTAACTCAACCGTGCTTGAGCTTTAGGTTACAAACTGATGGGTGGACATTCTTCTTCTGGCTTTTCTGATAGAGAGCAGAATTCATGGGTCCATCAGTTACAAAAATTCGCCCAGGTCCTGCAGATGCAAAGCAGCAACAGACCATCACACTACCACAACCATGTATCATTGTTGATAGGATGTTCCATTGGTGGAGTACAGTGTTAGTTTTATGCTAGATGTAAGGGGACCCGTGTCTTCAACAAAGTTCCATCTTTGATTCATCAGTCCACAGAATGTTACCACAAAAGACTTGAGGGTCATCTAGATGATTTTTGGCAATGGTGAGATGAGCCTTTGTGTTCTTTTTGGCCAGCAGGATTTTGCACCTTACAACTCTCCCATGAATGTCATTTTTGCCCAGTGTCTTACTTATTGTGGAATTGTAAACATTGAATTAACTAAGGCTTTCTTTTGTGGAGGAGGTTTCTTTTGTGACTACCTGGATGAGTTGTTGATGTGGCTTTGGTGAAATTCTGGGTGGGATGCCCACTCCTGGGAAGGTCCACTACCATTCCAGGTTTTCTCCATTTGTGGATAATGGCTCCGACTATGGTTTGTTGAAGTCCCAGAGCTCCCTATTGTGACCCATTCCAGGTGGATTTCAATGACTTAGTGTCACATCTGTATTTGAATCTCCTTAGAATATGGTTGCGTTTTGAGACCTGCTAGATTGCTTTACATTCTCCCAGACAGGTTTCGTATATATATATATATATATATATATATATATATATATATATATATATATATATATGTGTGTGTATATATATATATATATATATATATATATATATATATATATATAATATATATATATATATATATAACTTGATAAACAAAAGCATGACTTGTCTGGTTATTTTAAATAGCTAGGAACAAGAGATCATCTATGATAATAAAATGGTACAAAGTTATATTAGCTGCATATAAAACATCGCTAAATAACCACATTGTGAGAAAATATTTTGATTGATTCTTTGTCTAGAAAATTATCTTTAGACTTTCAATTGCTTAAGCCGTGGATCGAGGAAAACAAGCAAGAGACATGTACTTCAACACTCACAGCGGAACATGAGATGAAGGAATGTTGCATGCAAAAACTTGCCTTCATGATCAATTCCAGATTCAGTGATAAAGCTACATGAGTTAGTCTTGTTTGGATGAGACAGCACTGCCATGCTTGATAAGAGTAGAAGTTGGTTTTAACTGTGCATTTTTGTCTACAGTCATGATACATCAACACAAATGTATCAAAATCTACTTTGTGTTGGACTTTACATTTATTAGATCTGCAAATACTTTGTAGTAAAAACAAAACAAAACATATATATATATATATATATATATATATATATATATATATATATATATATATATATATATACATATATATATATATATATATATATATTTATATAGAAACCTGAATCAAACAGATGTTCAAGACAGCTACAAGGGGTAGATGTTAAAATCAGTCTTGGGCAGACAGTAACACCTCAGTGCTAGAGCACATTGTCCCAATCGAAATGGTTTCATGAGAGGTGAGTACTAAAAGGCAAGCATGAGCACTGAGTCCACAAATTGTTAATTATCTTTAAGTGTGGAAAGGAAGGGTGGAAATTCTTCTGAGTTGCTTCTAAGCACTTTTTTTTTTGCTTAAAGCTTAAGAGTCCAGGCAACTGAAATCATAACTGGAGACACGATTTCACGTTCAATAATTCAGCTCAAGTCAAATAAAAGGTCTAAATGAACTAGTGAGAATGCTTGAAAACTCATGGATCATGCTCCTACTTTAGCCAGCACGGCATCACATAATAAATCAGCATTTCAGCACTTTTCTCACACTTATCTTACATGAAAAATTGCATTATAACATTTTACATGTGTCAATGCATGTAAATTATGTTAAAAACATTTTGCACATAGTGAAACACTTATTTCAACATTTCATCATAATTCATTTATAATACAGAATAGATATCTACTCACCATATCTACCAATTCTCTTGGCCATTTTCTTGCAGATTAAGATTTCGTGCAAAATTTTAATCACTGCAGCTGGTTTTGGGGCTTATCTGGAGTTGGGACATGGGGATTTATATAACTTGTTCTGAGAGCAGAAAAAAAAAGATACATGCAGCCAGTGAAATCAGAGAGGAGGGGGTTCACACTCACCTTTGGGAAGAAAGGAGGCTGGCTCCTATTTATGTGGTAAGGTAAGTAAAACAACGAAAAGTTATGTTAGCTCAGTAAAATGAGCTGAATATATAATAATTATATCTGTGTGCTAATATAAATTGCTTTGTGTGATTTCATTAATGGAGAACCAAACAAATGCTTTTCAAACAAGTTTAAAGAAATAGCATAACTCTATATTTCAGGAACCCCCACGACCCAGAAGGCTAAGTGGTTTAGAAAATGTGTGTGTGTGTGTGTGTGTGTGTGTAGCTCAGGAACAGTACCTTAATGGGATCTACTGCTTACTTTTGGGGTCCCTCAAGCAGGGTGAAAGAGGAATCAGGCACTTCCATTCACTGCTTAAAAGTGTCTTCCTATTGAGATCAAGCATCTTCTTTACTTTCTATAAAGTCAAGGTTTAAACACATTTATTCTGTGGCATTTAAACTGTTGAAGGTTTTATGTGTTAAGTTTACTCTCTACATAAGTCTCTTAGCCTTTTATGATTGTCTGTACATTAATTTTGTTTATTGTGAGCTGTTTAAGTAAACTGCATGAATATATATTTAAGTTACTATACAATACAGTACAATCTACAATGGTATTCACCACCTTGAGATCCTGCAATATTTGAAATGTGTTTGTGTGTGTATATAAATACATATTTATAAATATACCAATAGAAGTGGTCCAAAATGACCTAAAACATCAACAAAAAAACTTGTTCCACGACACTGGCTTGAGAGCGGTCTGTCATAGAAGGTGTCACGTGAAGATGCAATCATTAATTAAGAATTTCTGACACACATTCTTGCCAAATTAAGACAGGAGTGGTTGAACAACAAAAATATTTTACAATTGCCCAGTCAAAGTCCAGATCTCAATCTAAAACAGAACCTGGCCAAAATCACTCCCAGTGTGCAAAGCTGGTAGAAAGTTACTCCATCTAACTAAAAGCTGTAATTGCAGCAAAAGGTCATTCTACCAGGCACTAGACTGAAGAGGCTGAATATTTATTATAAGCAGCATTTTTTAAAGATCTGCTGACAAATAATGAATACTTTAAGAACATACTGGTTTGTAAAAAAAAATACTGGCTGTAACAACATGTGTGTCATTTGTGATGAAAACAAATCTGATTGATTTTAAGGGGATTAAATATCTCTGCACGGCACTGTACATTCCTAATGTTTAAGCTTATGTGCATATATATATATATATATATATATATATATATATATATATTATATATATATATATATACTATAAACTTCATCAGATTGTCACACAACTCCTAATAGTAGATAAGGAGAACTGAAACAAATGAGATAAAATAAAAGAAATAGACTGGTCATTTATTTATTGAGGAAAATGATCCAATTTTACAG